TCACACCTCCTTCCCCTTCTAGTATTTTCCCTGCTTTGTCTCTCCAGACCTCATTCTCCTCATTGCTCGTCTCCTCTGCCTCTCCAGACCCCCCCGCCTAGTCTGTGGGACTAGGCAACTCTGCGAGGCTCCTCTGGCATTCCACAGCTGCTGTGTTGTACTCTGGTGTACACTAGATGGCTTTGCTCACCATGGTGAAATGACCATTCAAGTCCAAATCCAGTTGTTTCACAAAAATAAAGAATGTGTCTTTTAGTGAGAATAACTTTGTTCAAGTTACAGCAGAGATATTACTTCCCATTCACCTATCACCTAACCACCTAATTGAAAGAATGACTTACTTTTCATTGCATATATTGTTTTTTTATATTTCTGTGTTGTGTTTTATTTGATGGATCTTATATACATAGATTATATATATAATCTTGGTTGTCTCATTTTAAGGATTTCTATTGATGTGATTACTGTCTCAAGTGTTTGTGATTTGACTAGTTTGATTCATTGTTGCAATGTGTGGTTCCAGTATAAAGAGGTTCTTGTTTCATATTGTGGATTTGATGACTGATGGCTACAACTTGCTATACATGTGTGTGAATGGGTGAATGTGAAATTTAGTGTAAATCACTGTGTGATCAGAAGACTAAAAAGGCAGAGTATAATTAATTTACCATTATTCTGACAATGCTGACGGTGTTCAGGAAATCAACACTGTCTTTTGCATGTCTTCATTTCACTGTGCACCTGTCTACCATGGTGTGCATTAGACGACACTTAAATAAAAAAAGAAAATATAAAACATAGTCTTTGAAATGCCAGTGAAACTGCAGAAATGCCTTAATAAATGAATGGAAAAACATAATCAATGCAAATGCTTCAATGCTGGCGTGCTATGTCATCACCACATCAGATAAATCATCAATTCAGTGTCTACATTAATACTTTTGTCCTTGCCTTATAAACTTAAAAAAAACATGTTAATGTATTCAGTAAATAGAACGCAGCACACACTGGTTTCTTACCTTTCTCCCAGAAATGTCAACCAAGGTATGCCTCACTGCATCCATCTTCACTTCATATTTTCCACTTCCTTGTGGCGCCAGATGCAGCATGAACAGTACCCAACGTTTCTAAGCATGCAGCACTGTATTGATCTCACCTGTGGTGCCTTACATAATAACCTAAATAGTATTTTTCATTAAAGATGTGGTTTTCCCTTATTTGGTGTGGGATTTGTTTGGGCCCTGAAACAACGTGGTGTTGATGGAGCAGGTCTCTGTAAAGATGTGGGCACAACAATCTCTGATTTCCTGTTGCTTGGATTACCATTAGTCATGAGCAGCCTTAAGTCACAGCTGGACCAACATGGCGTCTATCCCAGCTCTTTTCTTTTCCTCCTAGGGTGTCAGCACCCCCGTGGATGGCTGGTGGTCATTTCAAAGTCAACATCCTTCTAATCCAAATTCCATGCTTCCTTTTCCAATCACAGCAGACTCTTTCTGTCATAGGTAATACATGTTTCAGCAATAAAGCCCAAAGCAGATTAAAACAAAAACAGAGAAGTTTGAAGGAGCTAGCCTACCGACCGCAGCATCTGAATGTGCAGCCGTTCCCATAGTCACAATCACTTAAATCCAATCAACTTGAACATTATGGCTTAGCCCTTTAACCCTTTATCGGGCAAGGAACCATATATCGTGTTTTTTTTATAGGTGATATACTAATATACACTTCACTGTTACGGCTTTCTTTCACAAATAACTCAAAGTGGGCATGATCTTGATTTGCCTATGCCTTATTTATTACATATTTTCATAGTATATTGATGTGGCATATTTCTTTTGCAGTAGCTGTCTGCTCAGTCCTTTTATGGGAAGAGGAGGCCTGCTG